ATTGGTTTCTCCGTTATCCGTCCGCCGCTTCAACTCCAACGTAGCGCACTTCAGTTTCCCTCTGTCCGACGGATCCAAATCGGGACGTATATGGATCTCTAAACCCCTTAGCCTAGCGATGCGGGATGGTATCAGCCTCGGACTCGTTGTATCAACAAAGGTGACTCGCAGATTCCGGGATTTCCCCTCTCTTTCCAAGATGGGTGATTTGCTTCACCCGCAACCCCTATTCATTCATGTCAAGAAGCCTATCAACAAGGGTTTGCGGAAAATCCGCGTCGTACTCATAAAGAACCTTAGGACTAGCATCTGTCAACTCAGGCGCGTGAAATATCATAAGGTTACAACGCCGCTGATTGTCGACAGTTGTCTTCTTTTTGCTTCGCTGCATTTTTATTGGCCTTCAACGCCTGCGCTATCGCACACCGGTATGTTAGTGTCCGTAGGACGCAACACAGGCACACCAGCTGAGTCTCCAGCAGCGGATAGACATTGCGCTGGAAAGCCTGCAGCCGGTGTGCAGGTGGGCTCGTTCGAACATAGAGGTGGCTGAGTTTCCGCTTGCTATGATGAACCCACGGAGCCTCACTCTATCGAACGTTTCGCCCGTCTTGTAAGCTCGCGCGGCTTCTTGGCTGTTTGTGACTGCGTAGACATGCCAACTGAGGCTCCAGCAACGGGTGGGCATCGTTCTGGAGAGCCTACAGCCGGTGGATGGGTTTCCGCTTACTTGGATGAACCCACGGAGCTCCTTCCTATGGAACGTTTCGCCCGTCTTGTAAGCTCGCGCGGCTTCTCCGTTGTTTCTGACTGCACAGTGGCTTGGCATTTCTTGCACAATATTTGAACAAAGTCATGCTGGATTTCACGCAGTAGTTTAAAATGATCTCAAGACAAATCAGTACACGAAATGTGGAAATTCACACGACACATAAGGCATATAACAGTGTTGGCTCTATGCCCAACTTTTTGCAACAAGTGCCACAGGGAGTCAGCTTTGTCATTATTGATAACTTAGCAGATGTGACGGTAAGGTTGATAAAGTGAACAATAGCTACACGATAAAAGTACCAGAGTAAAATATACGGACACGAAATTAATGCACAATAACCAAATTCAGAATCGCAATAAACACTAAATTTAACAAATCTAAACACGAAAAATTTGCTTTGTATAAAGTAATGAGCAATGCAAACTGGCCTGTGAAATAGAACGAGAAAAACCGTCCGGCGAGCGCTATTCTCAGTCGAGCAACAAGATTGCCCGCTGTCACCTTTCCTCTTTAACTTCGCCATTGACGAAGTCATGGAAACGGTGTTCGTTGGACGCGACTTACGAGATGTTGTGGAGCTGCTTCCTAGTGAGCGGCTTCTTGACTTTAGGTATGCGGACGACACTGCGCTCATCTGCGACAACTCACAAATGTGCCTAGCTGCACTGGATAAATTAGTTTTGGCTGCCAGTCATTTCGGGCTATACCTTGCACTCTCGAAATGCAGTCTTTCTCCAAGATTGACAGCGTCTTACTCCTGCGCTGACCCTTGGCAGTGATCAGCTGGAAGTCGTCCAGAAATTTAAATATCTAAACAGCTATACTAACACCCGTGAGATTGAAGAGGAGCTCACGAACCTTAGAGCGAAAGCTGGAGGTACTCTTGCGAATCTCCGTCACCTCTGGCGCAGGCGTGACATCACTCACTCACTCTCTGTCTCTCTGAAGGGCAGAGTTTACAATACAGTCGTCCGTTCAACCTTCCTGTACGGTTCCGAAACCTGGCCGATTAGATCAACCGAAATAAAGAGGCTAGTTACGTTCGATCATCGCTGCCTTCGAAGCTTAGACCATGTCTGTTAAGAGCACTGCGTGAGTAATGAGCCTCGTCGGCGTCGCGTATTTTGTGCAGGAAGAGCGAGTGAACCTCTAAACACCATTATATCACGAACCAGGCTGCGATGGTTGGGGCACGTGTTGCGCATACCAGCACGCCGACTGCCTCATCATGCGTTTGCTAACCCAGGTCTGGATGAAAGAGGAGGAGGGGAGACGAAGCGATGACTTGATCTATAGGAATGAAGTCCCTCACTTCAAACTTGACGTCGGTTGATGTTTCCTGACTGCCGGACTGGGTTCTGAAGGACAAACATCACGTTTACTTGGATACACTAGTTGATACGGCGAAGAGCCGACCTCATTGGCGTTTGTGTTGTGAGTTGCATTGTCTCTTCCCTTTCCTTTCGCTTCCCCATCCAACAACGATCTCAAGCCCTATGCACAATGTGATTTCAGCATTATGTTACATTTTTTAACTTCTTTAGTCTGTAATGTTTAATCTCTTATCCTTTTCGTATTGCGGCACATTAGTTGAGGTGTGTTACTCACCCTCGGCTGACGTGTATTGCTGATGATACTGAATCAACAGCTGTTATCGCCTACGCCTCTATAAGCTATAATGCTGACTGGATGAGAGCCGACTTTTAACACTAGTTGACCGAACTCCTCCGTTACCTAATAATTGCGGTCACTGTATTCCTAGCTGGTTAGCTCGAGTTGGAATATTCCCCACTGAAGAGCTGCATCTGGGCTGCCAACACGGTGTAGGCTCCTGTACTGTTAACTGTGAGCGGTTGCTACACCTGTTTGAAGACGCTGGCCTATTTCTTGTGAGCACTGACTTCCGACATAGCACTCGCAGAATAGTGACATGATGCTCACCAGCCTTGGATCAGCCTTGGATACGAATCGATCAAATCACGGCCAGTTATCACTTGATGTGTGTCCAACCTGTCGTTCGATTTGGAGTTCGAATGTGGACTCCGAATTCGCTTCGGCGGACGCCCACGGCGACTCTTTAAACACATGGACACCAGTCGGCTAACGAATCCAGATGTTCTGGATGCATTTCAAACTGCGCTGGCATGCGAGTTGTGTATGTGCTCGCGGAACACATTTGCGGATCATTTGTGGTACTTCCGCCAGACGTTATTGGCGACAGGCATATCTTCATGTGGGAAATCTAATTGCAGGCTTTGAAACTTCTGGATGTTCGAGGACACATTCCGTTTGGGAGCTAACATAAGGACGCTCGCCTGATTGCGAAATTCTTTGGTAGCCTGAGGAGAGGCCGCGAAGCTTGGTGATTTCACGGCACATTGGAGATGGAAAAGGCTGCTGTCCTTAGTAACCACCATAAATTGTTTCGTCTGATACGGGAAACGGGCTGCTAGGGACCTTGTGTTAGTGAGACTATATGCGACGAGAGTGGGCAACCAATCCATGGTTTGTCAAAACGCTTGGAGCGTCAGGCCGAATCCTTTGAAAAGCAGTTTAATCAGCCAGAGTTACCGGTTTCCTTATCGACCTTTGTTTACCTTTCTCCCTGCGCACAGAAGTCGGTCGTGAAATCACACCATTAAAATTCACTGGTCCTGCAGGAGCAGATAGACCTTCTCTTGTAGATGGATTGCACAACGTGATGGTGAATCTGTGGAAGCAGGAGGGGGGATCAACCCGACTGACGGACTGGGGTCCGAAGTACGATGAGCACGTTTGGTCGGATACACTTGTTAATCCAGCCGACAGCCGACCCCAGTGACATTTGTGTTGTCTATTTCCCCCCTCTTGTCTAGCCTCCATTTCGACCACGATCGCATACTCGATGCTACTAAGTATCGTATTAATCTTTTGATTTTTGCTTATTTATTCTATAGTGTTTGGCCTCTCGTTTTTCCCTCTATCATCTTTCTCTGTTGTGGCACAAGAGCCGAGGTGTTTCTCGCATTTAGTTTACGTGTAACGGTGACGATTTGAAGATTTGGTGGCTGGTAGATGAATCGGATTTTTTGAACCTTGAGTGCATACTTGGGAAGTAAGAGTATTTTAGCAAGACCGAGTGTTCCTTTTCCATTTCCAGGAACCAGAAGTTTGAGAATTTAACGCGTCATGTTCCAATAAGGCTTGTCGTATTTTAGAGTATGGCCTTGCGGATCGCACCGTCACGATTTTATTCCGAGCGGATTTCCTTGAAGTTGCAATCCTTGGCACATACTTTGAACTTCTCCACAAATTGGTCTGTTAGACCACTTTTCTTGTTTGCACATAGCTGATATGTAGCACACGTAAATCTCGTTTTTTTGGAGTTAATTCGAAGGCTCTTCGGTGCACCTGTGGTTTCGTCGAAACGATCTACTCGAAGCTTGAGGGAATACGTAATTCACCAAACTTTTTCATTTATCGGGATTGTGCGCTTCAATAGAGTTTAAAAACAGATCCCAATAAGTGCACTGATTTTATGCATCTGTAGTATTGATGTCAGCGTCAAAACGTTCCGGTCTAAGAAAACGTTCAATGGAGATTTATTCACATGAATAAATTCTAGTATAACCGAGCAGTCAGAGATAGACCAGCGACTGGAGGAATCAAGACATGCGAAATCAGCCCTTATTCGTCAGTGCACAGAGGGCTAAAAGTGTGACGCATAGGAGATGTCTAGTAGCAACGCTAAAAATGCAAAGTGAACTTATACCACACCTGTTATGCTTTCCGCACTTAAGTTACACGACTTCGTTAGTTCATTTGTGTGTGTGTGATGCAAACACGTTTTGCGCACTATTGCTTTCATCCAGCTGGACTATTGACCGACCAAGCAGTAGTGCGTTGCGTCTCATTGGTCTCGCTGACAGGTGTCTCAAATACATTATAGTTGTGTGATGACAGCGGCGCCACTTTGTCCCTGTTAATTCACTCAATACACATTGACGTACCGGAAGACCGATGAAAACTTCACCAGAGATTCTAGTGCGTTCCTCGCGTTTATTGTTCCACTTCAAAGACCGGCGTTTAAGTTGTTGCTTGCGTCTGTATTCCATGCGGTCCAGACAATCTTGACATATTGTCACTGCATTTTATCCAGTCAACTTCAGCCTGCTGTCATATGATAATCATCACCCGCCTTATGAATTAATCCGTGTTTTTACACAAAATTCTCCGTTCATTCACCTAGGTGAACTCCTTCTTGCCGCCGATGTGGTTTGCTGCACTTGTGTCACAGCTGGTGATCAACGTTTGGAGCGGCTCAGTTTTCACTCGGTATTGATAGATGAATCTACCCAAGCGACTGAACCTGAATGCCTTATTCCTTTGATGGTTGGATGTCGGCAAGTGGTCCTTGTTGGGGATCACTGTCAATTGGGCCCAGTGATCACTTGCAAAAAGGCTGCTAATGCGGGTTTGACGCAGAGCTTGTTTGAACGATTCGTCTTGCTGGGCATCCGACCGATTCGATTGCAGGTACTCATTAATCTTTTTTTCCTGGTATTTTTACTTAGATTTTCACACGCAGTTCTCACCGTGTTATTAAAACTTTTCGCTATTCTTTTTGCGGATTTCGGTTAGTCGTACACTGATGCAACTAAACTGAATACAATCTATTTGAAACAAAGTAGAGTGCTCAATAATCATTGAAGTACTTGCTCTATGATGATGCATCATGTACACGTTACGGAACAACATAGTTGTCAGGTTGGAGTTACTAGCGTTCCATCTACATAGTGTATAGTTTCGTCGCATCTCCTTTTCTTTTCCGGGTTCGAGTCTCTCCTCCTGCATGGTTTTCGTTTTCCCCGTAGTGTCACAATCCGCATACAACTATTGGTCGTATAGCGTCGGTGCATTGTGCTGGTGTATTTGATATCTTTTTAATTAATGTTTGCTTTCACTGAGCTGTTTTGTACCACCTACTATACAATTAGGTGTGCATCCTTGAAATTAGAGGCTTAATGAATCCACTTGACATTAGCCTTCGGATTCTAAACTATTGCTTCGATCCTTCGGCCACCTCCATTAAACTTTCGGTTAAATCATCCCGATCTCGGTACATTTCTACATTGTTTTCCCGTATAGGTTCATCCGATTTAACCAACACTATCACATTGTAATTTGCCCTACCTCATTCTCATTTGGTCACCTTATACAATACTAATTTCACATTGCTTTGAGGACTGTCACGGAATTCATTCGTCTGCCGCTTCAGTTATATGCATATTCCCTTGAACAGAATCGAACGTACCCAAGCGTGCGAATAAGTTACTACGTCATGCATTCTCATAGTCCATACGAATACTGTTGGCTACTTGTTTGCAACCCATTGCAGTTTCCGGATAACGCACCGCATACCTTCAAGTTATCTCATTTGTACGGTCTGAATTTAACGTTCAACAGCAGATGACATTGTATTCACTCATCGAACAATGAAACTGATTTGTTAAGTCAACTACACACACGTTTGCTACTGCTGTTTGCTTTAGGAACAATTCGCTTGTTTAATTTTTCCCCTTGGTCATTCTACGGAAATCCATGAGGTCGAGCCTTTTATAATTTTACATAGTAACTTATTTTTTCTACTACATAGTGGCCGACAGGTAGCTTACCGGAACGATGCTCATCCGTTACCGTTAGCTCAGCTGGCTCGCACCTGTTGCATTTTATTCCCTTTTTTCTTTTAGGTATTGCAGCACAGTAACTGAGGTGTTTCCCACCTCTAACTAACGTATATAATGATGATGATGATGAGCCGTTACAATTTTTGGCTAAATCCTTGGTTACTTTTTACACAGCTCCTATCATGCCCCTCCTGGCTTCGGCTTTGTGGTGCACCCCGAACTGATTTATGTTTGATAATACCAAAACTGGACCCTTTACACATCACTGAACAATACTGAACCCATGTTTTTCTGCCCCATATTCGCCACTTTTACTTACCCTACGCATTTGCTCTCTTTTATAGGTTATGCTATGAAGCATAATTTGACCATCAGCACTCTCGCTATCTGCTTTTTTATCACGTTTTTGATTCGCTCGGTTGTTCTCAGTTTGTTTCTTTAATCGTTCTTCACTAGAGTAGTCTTAGAGTATTGGCTATACGTTGCTTTTCTCGATTCGATTCTGTGCATTCATGCACCATTGGTTGCATCGGGCACCAGTCTTCCTCTCCGTCCACTGTCAATATCCTATTGTGGCTGGTTGTCTACACCGAGAGCAGGTTTCATCCACTTACATCAATTGCTCTACTCCTGCTATCGTTCCCTACCTTTCATCTTCACCAGGTTCAGTATCGCATGCATCCCGCTTTATCAGCGTTTCCAAGTAATGTGTTCTATGAAGGTAGCTTACAAAATGGTGTCACTGCCGAGGACCGTTGCAAAAAGATCGATTTCCCGTGGCCAAATCCTGACCGCCCTATGTTCTTTTACTGCACCTCTGGACAAGAAGAAATTTCTGGCAATGGAGTTTCTTATCTTAATCGGACAGAGGCTGCAACAGTGGAAAAGATTGTCACGAAGTGAGATGTCCGTTTTACCATGTCTTCTTAAGTTGCTATGGTTTTCACTCTGTATTGAGACTCGGCGTCACTAATATGGAATTAGTCAATACTGATTGGTGACTCATTGACACAGCGGAGGGCTAGATGTCGTCATAAGCTGGCGCTGCCATCCTTATCTTACGTCCACCATGATGTCATAGCTGTTTATCCTACTTGTCCTTAGTTATCATAGCTGTTTAATTCCGTGACCCAAATTATCGAGTCTAGATGAATTTTATTAGGCTTTATATTCTCTACTGTTCAAAATCTTAACACATACTTGGAACCCATCGAGAACTCATAATTCAGAATGGCTTGTTTTGCTTTCACATAATTGTGTCCTTGTCCTTTATGCCGTTCCGACGATGTTAACTCACTAAATAGCTTATTCTCGACCATGCGAGGCGCATTTGTATGGTCACAATCATGGTAAGACGACCACGATTGATCGGGAAATATACAAATGCCGTAGTTTTTCTAGTAATCTATTGGCTGCATATATATATATATATATATATATATGCGCCTATGTGTATGTAGCTGTCGAGAGTTTGCCGAAGAATGCTTATGCTACAGTCCACCATCCGGGGTATGCAGATTACACCAGAATTCAATACCCACTTTGAGCCCTTTATCAAGCCTGATTTGTTCTATCTCAGGAAATACCGCGTATGGTACGGATGTTGTCATATATGATGCCGATCGCATGGAACGAATCTGTTGGTTAAACCCAGCCGAAGATAATGTCTGTTCACAAACTGTGGCGATTTCCAGTTATTTGGAGTCATAGTTTCTGCAAATATCGAACATAACCCGCAATCCATTGATTTTGAGCAATCGCAGCTTTACTTATCACGCTGCTGCCAGACATCTTTGTCACTAAATATTTCGTGACTCGGCATTTCTTATTCCTATATTTCCACGGTTCGCGGGTCACTCAGCGGGGAGGGTTTTCCCTACAGCTTCCACACAGCACACAAGCACAGTGACAAACTTGGTTTGTGGTTCCATCAAGTCTATGAGATTGTTTACTCCGGACTTCTCTCTGCGTATTTTGTCGAGACATCGTCCTGCCTCAGCAGTTTCCTGTGCGCTCCTACTTTGGTGTATGCACATGAATTGTCAAAAATAAATGAAATCAGTTCATGTATTGCGAAAGCTAGGACCGCCTTCAACCTGTGTCGTCAGGATGGGTTTCCCCTCGGACTGAAAGGCCGTATGTATAAAGCCAGGACATTGATACGTGGTCTCTAAATTGAGAACCTGAAGCGCCTTGAACTCTCTACCCATCACTCCCTTTGAAGCACATCTTTTGTCGGATGGCACCTGCGCTACTCTGTCCAGTGCAGTTTGGCACGTCTGGGAGCTGTCACAGTTTAGGGCAATGTCGTCTGCATACTCCAAGTCAAGAAGTCGTTCTCCTGGGAGTACCTCACACCTAACTCGTGTACTATAAAGGCAATCTCCATGACTTCTTCAATAGCGAAATTGAAGAGAAAAGGTGACAACGGACATCCTTGTTTCACACCGCTGGAGATATTGAAGGGCGGCGACAGCTTGCCGTAAACCCTCATTCTGCCCGTGCTACGCGCGTATAATGCTCAGATAATATTTACATATTTCCCGGGCACACCTTTCCTGAGTAGACAGTTCCACATCGATCAACCGAATTGAAGGCACCATTGATGTCTAGGAACACGACTACGGTGGGCCGCCAATATATGTGACGGTGCTCCAACAACGGATGCAAAGTGAAGATGTGGTCAGTGAAGTCACCACCTCGACGAAACTCGGCTTGCTCTTCACGAATATGGCTTTCACGAGTGCCAGTCAGTCTGTGACGGATTACTGAGGCAAGTAATTTGGAGGCAATGGAGATCAGACTGATTCCTCTATGGTTGCCGCATTCCGAACGCGAGCCTTCTTTGAAGATAGGAACAATAACGGAGCGGCTCCAGTCGGTAGAGACAGTTTCCTGCTTTCACCGTTTCACTAGTAATTCGTGTAAATCATCAACAAGAGCAGTGCCTCCGAATTTGAAGAGGGCTGGATGAAGATCATCTGGTCCTGCGGCTTTGTTCATCTTCAACAGTTCGATCTCACGTTTGACTTCTGAGCGAGAGGGCGGATCCAAAGAGACAGCCCATGGAGCAGGGCGATCATTGGCCGGTAAGGAATCGAAGAAATCCGGTCGATTAAATTGCTTTTCAAATCGCGCAGCCCAACACTCCAAACGTTTTGACAAATTGTGGATAGGCTGTCCACTCTCGTCACAAATTGTTTCACTAACACTAGGTCTCCTACTGCCTGTTTCCTGCATCGGACGGAATAACTTCCCATGGTTACCAAGGACAGCGGCCACTTCCATCTCTGACGCACGAAGAGACCACAAGATTCGCGGTCTCTCTTCAGGCTAGCACGGAGTCTTGCCCGGAGCTCTTTGCGAGTTTCATTGTGTTCGCTTCCAGCCGGAATATGCCGGCGAGCATCGATAAGTTCCAGAGACCGCGAAGAGACCCAATGTCCATGTTGGCTATTAGACTTACCACATGAGGATTTGCCTGCTGCTAGTAAGGTCTGGTGAACATGCGACCAGTGACCTTCAATTGTCTCCAGTGAGCGCTTACTCAACTCGCATGTCAGCGTACTTTGATAGGCATTCAGAACAGCTGGCTTCGTCAGTTGGCTGGTGTCAATGCGCTCACAGCGTCGTCGTGGGCGTCTGCCAAAACGCATCCGCATGTCAGCACATACAAGTGCATGGTCGGTGTCCACACATGTGCTCCAAATCGAGCGCCAGTTCTGGATGCATCCTCTCCAGTGGTAATTGAGTACAATGTGATCGCTTTGCGTCCAAGCCTGGTTCGAGGCTGGTGGGCGCCGAGTCACCCTCCGGCGGGTCCTGTGTCGGAAGTTAGTGCTCGCAAGAAATAAGCGGGCATCTTCACACAAATGAAGTAACTGCTCACCGTTATCACTACGGGAGCCTACACCGTGCTGACCGCCCAGATGCATTTCATCAATGGACAAATTTCCAAATTGTGCGTTCAGATCCCCCGCCAGCACAACAATGTCCGTGCTTCTTCTGTGGCGAAGGAGCTGGGTCAATTGGCGATAGAAGTCGATTTTTACGGAGTAATCGCTAGAGTTTGTGGGCGCGTAGGCAGCGATGATGTATTGAGACTTATGAGTCCCGCGCGACTTCGAAGCTTTGAACGAGCCAGCCAATCGGACTGCACACCGGCTACTGACTGGGATCCAATCAACCAGCGCGGCTTCAGCTCGAGGACTCAGGGCAATGCCACCACCATTTTGGCCGGTGCTCGAAGCTGCATCGTCACCTGATAGTCTCAATGAGAAAATACTGCTTGTGTCACCTGAAGGGGACCGCATAGTGAGTACAGAGCTCGAGTCTTGCATGCGGGTCTCCGATAAGCAGCAGATATCGATGGGGAGGATCTCTAATGTTCGGGCAAGTGCTGCTAGTTGACCTATCTGCAGTAATGTGTGTACATTGAGGTATGCCAATCAGAAGAATGATCGAGGGCTTCAAATGGAAACCGATGAACTGGAGTGGACCGTTTGGTTGGACATGGGCTTGTCGAGCACGCGCCACGAACGTGTTTTACTTGGGCGAATGCTCTATGTAATTCCTTTAGGGGCGTCTATGGATTTTTAATTCGCATTCTCTGCCCTTGTCGAGGCTGTATCTAGACTGGTCATTTGATGAGTCGACAGAATTCGGGAACTCCTCGATACGCTTTGTTTTTGCATATAGGGGTCTTGGAATCGGCCATACCAATAGCCTGGTACTATTTGGGGTATTCCCGTCGATTCGGCTTTGTCTGTCTTGGGTTCAATTCCTCGCTCCTAAATACCATCTCTCTTGTCTGTGAACTTTAAACGTGTGGAAGTCATCATGATGCACAATCGGCGATTCGTTGCCATTTTTCACCGTCCAAAACAGTCAGTCATATCCAACCTCTCTGTTCCTCTTATCTTTCATCACTTGTTCCTTTCTAACTGTCACCCGTATTCTCATGTTCGCGCCCCTTTTTGAATCTGGTGACTGAGGATGGCGTTGTCACGATTTATCCGCCGAATCGTTTTTCTATGCTGTCATTCGAGTCGACGGATCTGAGCATTTCACTGAAACTGAATTATCGTTTATAGTCCACCCGACGTTTAATCACTGCTGTTTACGCACTGTCGTTTCACTACGAGTAAATTCTGTTTGATTCGTTTTACGTAATGCGAATCTGGTTATTGAAGTTTTTCTCAGGAAGGTTGCTCCTGTGTGCTCATTCCCATCCCACTTGTTCTTTTCTAGTCTGTTTTGATCACCGGTAGCTATTATCACAGGCACGCTCTTTATTTTTCCATAGAATGCTAAAAATCGGAGTTCATCCTAACACTATCGGTGTAATCACTCCGTACGAAGGACAACGTGCCTACTTGGCACATTATCTGCATTATTCTGGGTCTCTTAATGCTAAGCTATACCAAGAAATCGAGATCGCTAGTGTCGACGCTTTCCAAGGTCGCGAAAAGGACTACATAATTTTGTCTTGTGTCCGCGCCAATGAGAATCAGGGAATCGGTTTTTTAAACGATCCTCGACGACTCAACGTTGCGCTCACAAGGGCTCGTTATGGTCTTATCGTTGTGGGCAACCCAAAGGCACTTTGCAAAGTGAGTTACCGTTTTTTGACATTATGTATGTCACACTTACCCAACCCTTGTACACAACCTGCTTTCCCAATGGGTTCCTAACTAGTATTTTTCTAAACATCGATGGCACGATTGCACTCAATGCGTCACCAGCCTACATCATTCTCATCGACATTCTTTAGTTCGCATCTTTTGATGTCCTTATACCACCTATATGAGAAGGAGTTGTCCAGTAAGGTCAGTTGTTTAAAAACAATGTTGAGTTCGCTGCTCAATACGGAGTTTGTTTACACCCTCCTTCTAACTAACATCCAGGACACAATTCCGCCTGAGTCGGTTCACTGGCTCATGGCACTCGGCCCGCTGTCTTTCGGGTCTATACTTTATCGAAGGCTTTGTCTGAGGACCTGAGTCGTTCTGTCAGGTGTGGGCGCCCTGCCAGTATCCTACTCAACCCCCAACCATGAATTACGCCAATACTAAATTCATGCTGCATCGGCCGTCGCGCATTGGCCTTAGGAAAGGTGTTTCCTTATCTGCTGCATACAGCCGAATGGATAAGCAAAACGTGATACTGGTGGCGCCTCCCCTTCTCTTTTCTTTCCCTGCAAATGCGCTCTGCATCTCCGTTTCACTTAACCCACTACTTCCTCCAATGCAGGATGTCACATCCCTTAAGCTTACATGTCAGTGTGATCATATGCCTCCGCGTAAAGCCCTCTACATTTGGTGCTGTCACGTGCGCACTTTGCTCGACCGGAATACGAGTGAACGTCCCGAGCGACGCATTGCACGAGTCGCAATGGAACTGGCGCGCTACAACACCGATATTGCGGCGCTCAGTGTGACTCGGCTCGCTGAGCCAGGTAAGTTGCATGAATCAGGTGCTGGCTACACATTCTACTGGGTGAGCAGCACCACGTGAACACGGGGTCGGATTTGCAATATCCGATCGCCTCAACGTCCACCTGGTGTGTGAACTAACTGGCATCAGCGCGCGCCTGATGACTGTTCGCCTACAACTCGGAAGAGGTAAGTTTGCCACTTTACGTGTTATGCTGGTGGCACGCTTGATCAGTTCTACACACAACTATCTGCCGTGATATGGTCTGTACCGAGGAGCGACCGACTATTTCTGCTTGGTGATTTCAACGCGCGTGTTGGGCGTGATGCATCGCTGTTGACAGATGTTATCGGTCCGCCTGGCATTCGCTGGATTCCAAGTAGGACATTAGATTACTAGTACGCAGCCGTAATGCTGCTATACATACTGACGGGTAATACTGAAGCCTAGGTAAGGAGGAATAATCTAATGTGAAATCTTAACCAAATTTGAGGTCAAGACGCTTTCCTATTGCGAACACTACATGATCACAAGAAATAGGCTACCGCGCAATGATACAGCTACTCTGCACCTTCCACTACCCTTCGCCAAATATCTGTCTTACGGCCAACTTAGCAGCACACGTAGCTTAGACAGCGGTTCCGTCCTGCTTACAGCGCTCGACATGCTACGTCATCTCATGCCCCGGGATAAGAACATGGTAGGTTGCATGCGGCGGATCAAGGGCACTCGCTCTGGTAGTCAGCGGTTTCACATCTGGATGCCAGATCAGGACGCAGTCTGGCAAACAAACCAGACTTCCTTCACAAGTATTGGGTAGATGTACGCAGGCCGTACCGGAGCCAACACACCTTATATGGTCGTATTTATTGACCCAGCTACTTGATTCCAATGTCACCGCATAGTTGCCACCTGGACGTAGCTCTCTAAGGGGCAATTGTGTACGGTTTAAAGACAATATAGCTAGGATCGGTGTAAGCTGACTGCGTCACGCAGCCAAGTTCGGAGAAGATCATATTCAACTGGTGAGTCTATTGCAGACTCAATGTGCCATTTTTTGCCCTGGAATACCTGAATTAAGTTCGGCAATTCGCCTGTAATGCCGCCACTGAGACGGTCAAGCTGATGAATTGTCTAACGTTGTTCGTCATCATATAACAATGGGCCGGTCGGTGGCTAGTTGTTCTTTTGCGCTATTTTACATATTAATTTTTTGAGATGCATAGTGACCTAACTTCTTGACACCGCATCTCCCACATTACATTTGTTCGATGATCCAAGTTCCTATTAACGGTCTGTTTATTGCTTCATTCTTTTCAAAGCAACCGCTCTGGAATCAGCTGCTACATTTTTACCGCGAACAGCACCTGCTGGTTGAGGGACCTTTAAACAACTTGTCGGAATATATGCTTCAATTTCCCAAACCTAAGGTTCCATACACTTTCAAGCCCGGTGGCCATTACCTCGCCCAGCTCACTGCAAATACCGCTTTACTTAATGGGCAGCGCACGAATGCTGGTTCAAATTTCTTCTCACAAGCCGCTTTGAATGCCAATTTGCAGTCACCCACCTACCATTCCGGTAATACTGTTGATCCTACCACCTTATTGGCCGCTGTGGCCGCAGCATATTTCGGAGGCACAGGTGGTTCGGGCGGTTTGGGGGGGAACACTGGCTCTGTAGCTTCGAATCAGCCTGGAGCGAGCCACGCCGCTGCATACGCACTCGCTGCTGCTGCTGCGGCCCAACATCATCACACTGGTTACAATCCGTCACTTCCCAACAACGCTATACACCAGTTAGCCACTCAGTCACTGTTTGACCAAATTGGTTTCATCGGTCCGAACAGACAGTTTGCAGCTGCTGATGCGAGTTCAAGTGAGTTATAAACCTCATGATTCCGTTTATATGCTACTGCGTTATCATTCAATCGAAGATCATTATTTTCATATGTCGATGGAACTCGGCAGTCCGATTACTATGTGCCAAACTGCACAAACTGGACGTATAGCACACTAGGTTTCCTGTTTCTACTAACAAAACACATTCAATGCATATACTCGAAACTGTTTTCCAATAACTTATATATTCTCGACAACGCGAGACACACCTGTGCAGGCGTGGTCATGGTATAAAAACAACTAATTACCGGGAAATTTACAAAAAGGTCACACGTTTGCCAGTAGCAGTGAGTCTGTGTATGTAAATATCTATATAGGTGTGCATGTGTGTTGTTTGGGTGTTACTTGGGTTCGTAAATATGCCACTGCACAGTGTTTGATCACCTCGTCCACTCCACGGACGTGGAGTGGATATGATTATCCGGATAAGCAAGCTGGTGGCGAGTCACGTCCACCACGTCGCAGTGTGCCTTTTTATAGGGAGGATGCTTGCTAGGCAAGAACACACCACATCCTGGAAAACTGCAGCCATACTATTTGCTGGAATAGAATAAATCCGAATCACCCGGCTGGCACCACGAGGAGGCAGTTCGGCGAGGTAGCCGAATTTTGCGCATATACTGTCCTTGTGGTGGTTCACTTCCCTATTTACCTCCCTTGTGATTTAGGGATATTTACATGAAAATGGGCACCTCCTCACTGAGTGTTCATATGATAACTGCACTTAGTTGGCTTATATTGTTGGACTAAATTGATCGAGTTAACAAACACGGCTTTGTATGTGTCCTTACGCATTTTTCCAGTCTTCTATGGCTCAGGATCTTCCAGACCCCGAGCATAAGGATCTGTAGTTCTGGTATTGCGACATGAACGCACGACCGTTTATTGCAATATGAACACTTCTTTTGAGATTACTTGGGATTGGGTGCTCTTAGCACTGCCAATATCGACTTATTTCCTCAACTGTGCACCGATCAAACAGCCACGCAACTCTGGTGCGTCATTCATCACACGCCAAACTCACATTATATTCCGGACGTGTTCTGCTCGCTTCTTCTATGTGCCTTAGCTTTCGGCAACGAATTCATCACTATATCATTTGAAAGTAACAATATTGTGCGAAGATGTCAGTGGGATCGAATGCTTCTCAGGAGTGCTTCCCATGGTCCCTCTGTAGGTGCACTCGTTTTGTGGCTATCCTATTGAGGCCGCAGTGCAACATAAATCAGTCGATCACTGAACGGTTGTTCAAGAGACAATCGTAGTGCTTTTGCCAGATCTGCAGTCTGCGTGTAGGCAGCGCCTGAAGTATCATCCATCAACATCCTCATCAACTGCGAGGTGGGTCCGCACACCGCTTTTAAGGAGTCAACGAATTCTTTATCTTGACTGCCTTCGACTTAGCATTCCATCTGTTTCAGCTCCTTTATCCACCAACCATTCCTGACGCGACACAACTCTCGAGTCAGTCGCCTTCTTAGTTTGCGCTACTTACTCTCCCTGAGTCGGCAAGCTCCACCATATGTGCAGCGAAGGTTGTATTCTTTTCAACATAAATGCGCTAATGATCGCACCCTTGTCATCTATCCAATCGAGCCGCTCACAGTTCGCGAGCCTGATTGTTTACTCGGCCGCGGCCTGTTCACGGATGTGACACCACGGGTCGCCGACTGATGCGATGCAATCGACATCGCCAAATCGGGTAGCCATCACCCTCTCCAGCTCCATCCTCAGCAGTACCTAGGGAAAGAACGTTAAATTTCAGCCGGTTCACGGCAGTTGAGCGATACATAGATTTACGAAAATATATGTACAATTTGGTCCGCAGCAACATGTGATCAGTTCCACACTCAGGTCCACCCAGTACACGTATCATGTACACTTCACACGTTTGGCGCTTTAGATCGCTTTCACAGGACATGGCTTAGAAGGTGTGGAGTTGCTCCCAGGTGAACGACGATATTGCTTTCCTCCGTGACAGCTCACAAACGTGCAAAGCGACACGGGACCGATTAGCACTGGATGTCAACCGTTTCGGGCTATGCTTTGCACAAATTACAAAACTCTTTTCCAAGCTTGGTATGGACCGCATCCTGCGCTGACCCTTAGTGGGGATCAGCTAGAAGTCATTCAGAAGTCCAACTATCTAGGTAGTTGTAACAGTACCGCTGGAATTGAAGGCGAACTACTCACAAACCGTATAGGAAAAGCACGAGTTGCTTTTGCTAACCTTCATCACCTATGGCGCCGGCGCGACATCACTCTCTCCCTGAAGGGTAGAGTGTACAGTGCAGCGGTACGTTCCACCCCACTGTACGGTTGTGAAACCTGACCCCTTAGATTAGCCGAGATAAAGAGGCTAGTTACGTTCGACCACCGGTGCCTTCGCGGTTCGGCTCATATCTGGTGGTAACACCGTGTGAGCAATGAGCGTGTTCGACGTCTTGTGGTGCAAGAAGAAGAAGAGAACCGCTCAGCACTGTTATTTCACGCACCAGCTTCAGATGACTGGGCCACATGTTGCGCATGCTAGCCCGCGAGACGTGCTTTGTTTGTGCCGGAGATTCAAATAGAAGAGTTGTGGTGGCCAAGCGATGACTTGGTCAAGAGGAATGAAGGCTCTTACTTCGAAGTTGGCTTCGGTTAGAGGCTCTCTGCTCTCTCGTTAGCGACCCAAGGATGATGAACATCTGGCACATTCGGTGGCTTTCACAGATGAGCGGAACGTCGTCAGCATACTCCAAGTAGAGAAGTTCTTCACCAGGGAGCAGCTCCACGCTTTCTGAGTCGTGCCCGGCAATCGCTGTTTCTATGACTTCGTCAATGGCGGTTAAAGAGCAAAGGTGACAGCCGGCGACCTTGTCTCACACCGCTGGATATATTGAAGGGCGGCGACAGCTTGCCGTAAACCCTCACTTTATCCGAACTATGCGCATACTGCGCTCGGACAATGTTTGCATATTCCTCAGGCACACCTTTCCTGAGTAGACAGTCCTTAAAGGGACATTGATCAACCAAAGCAAATGCCTCTTTGATGTTTAGGAACATGACTACGATGAGCCGCCAATATATGTGACGGTGCTCCAACAACGGATGCAAAGTGAAGATGTGGTCAGTGAAGTCACCACCTCGACGAAACTCGGCTTGCTCTTCACGAATATAGCTTTCACGAGTGCCAGTCAGTCTGTGACGGATTACTGAGGCAAGTGATTTGGCAATGGAGATCAGACTGATTCCTCTATGGTTGCCGCATTCCGAACGCGAGCCTTCCTTGAAGATAGGAACAATAACGGAGCGGCTCCAGTCGGTAGAGACAGTTTCCTGCTTTCACAGTTTCACTAGTAATTCGTGTAAGTCACCAACAAGAGCAGTGTCTCCGAATTTGAAGAGGGCTGGATGAAGATTATCTGGTCCTGCGGCTTTGTTCATCTTCAACAGTTCGATCTGACGTTTGACTTCTGAGCGAGAGGGCGGATCCGAAGGGACAGCCCATGGAGCAGGGCGATCACTGGTCGGTGAGGAATCTAACAATTCCGTTCGATTAAATTGCTTTTTAAAATGTTCTGCCCAACTCTTCAAACGTTTTGGCAAATTGTGGATAGGCTGTTCACTCTCGTCCCAAATTGTTTCACTAACACTAGGTCTCTTGCTGCCCGTTTCCTTTATCAGACGGAATAACTTTCAATGGTTACCAGGCAGCGGCCACTTCCATCTCTGACGCACGAAGAGACCACCATGATTCGCGGTCTCTCTTCAAGCTATCACGGAGTCTTACCCCGCGTTTTTGGCGAGTTTCATTGTGTTCACTTTCAGCCGGAATATGCCGGCGAGCATCGATAAGTTCCAGAGACCGCGAAGGGACCCAATGTCCATGTTGGCTATTAGACTTACCACATGAAGATTTGCCTTCTGCTAGTAAGGTCTGGTGAACATGCGACCAGTGACCATCAGTTGTCTCCAGGGAGCGTTTACGCAAGTCGCATGTCAACGTACTTTGATAGGCACTCAGAACAGCTGGATTCGTCGTGGGCGTCTGCCAAAACGCGTCAGCACATACAAGTGCATGGTCGGTGTCCACACATGTGTTCCAAATCGAGCACTAGTTCTGGATGCATCCTCTGCAGTGGTAATTGATTACAATGTGATCGCTTTGCGTCCAAGGCTGGTTCGAGGCTGGTGGGCGCCGAGTCACCCTCCGGCGGGTCCTGTGTCGGAAGTTAGTGCTCGCAAGAAATAAGCGGGCATCTTCACACAAATGAAGTAACTGCTCACCGTTATCACTACGGGAGCCTACACCGTGCTGACCGCCCAGATGCATTTCATCAATGGACAAATTTCCAAATTGTGCGTTCAGATCCCCCGCCAGCACAACAATGTCCGTGCTTCTTCTGTGGCGAAGGAGCTGGGTCAATTGGCGATAGAAGTCGATTTTTACCGAGTAATCGCTAGAGTTTGTGGGCGCGTAGGCAGCGATGATGTATTGAGACTTATGAGTCCCGCGCGACTTCGAAGCTTTGAACGAGCCAGTCAAGCGGACCGCACACCTCCGGCTACTGACTGGGATCCAATCAACCAGCGCAACTTCAGCCCGGGGACTCAGGGCAATGCCACCACCAGTTTGGCCTGTGCTCGAAGCTGCATCATCACCTGATAGTCTCAATGAGAAACTACTGCTGGTGTCAACTGAAGTGGATCGCAGAGTGAGCATAGAGCTCGGGTCTTGCATGCGGATCTCGGATAAGCAGCAGATATCGATGGGGAGGGTCTCTAATGTTCAGACAAGTGCTGCCAGTTGACCGATCTGTAGCAGTGTGCGTACATTGAGGCATGCCAATCAGAAGGAGGATCGAGGGCTTCAAATGGAAACCGATGAACTGGAGTGAACCACTTGGTTGGACATAGGCTTGTCGACAGGACAGCAGTGACGCTCCGCCTTTGTATGTGAGTTGAAACTAGATGATGAACGCCTTTCAAAGCATCTTGGAGGAGGCCCAAGAATTGCGGGATTGAAAACTGGGGTGATAAAAGTGAATTTGGTATGGGACCATAATGGAGGGGAAACCTAAGACGGGTGGATAAGACGACGGGAAAGCCTGAGCAGTAGCATCCAAGCTCCTGTCCACTCTGCTGGATGCAGAAGATAGGACTCCGTTGATTATCCTCTGCGCGGTGTCCAAGAGCATCAGGAATTTTTTTGCCGAACCGTTCATTCTGGCGTATCAGCTTGTGGTCGAATTTTCAGCTTTGGCCCTGCTCCAGCGGATCTAATAACACACTTTCTGGCTCTGTCTGGAAAAGATAGTTTTAACTGTTCACTAATTTGCTCTGGAAACAATCGTCACACGTTGATATGCACTTCGCACCTTCATATTCCATTTACTGGGAGACGAACGTGAGATATTTGTACCGTTTGACAACAAAAACAGGATTAGATATCTTGCAAATGGAATGTTTCAGTTGTAGAATGACTTCCGTTGACCTAGCATCTGGATGAACCGCTGCTGACTGCTAGGCGAAATTTTATCTGTCCGTTTCGGCTCGAAAGATGTAGTCCGCGCAGCTTACCGTGTTCTTGCTTCGGGGAATTAGTTTACGTGACGCACCTACCAACGTACCCCGGACGAGCTGGCTTTCTAGGCTGAACTAGTCTTGGAGTATGACAGAAATTAATCAAGAGCGATGGACGGCGCGAAGATAGTTTTTGTTGCTGCTTTATTTTCATGCGCAGCAGCTGGTTTCTTGCGATTTGATTCCGTTTTCGACTCTTTAAATTCCACAACTAAATGCTCTAACTAATCGCTGGTATCGTCTGTTTTGAGGCACTGTTGTATGATAGTCGAACGCTGGCTTAATTCAGTAACAATGTGTTATAAATTTAATATTATGGTTTCGTGTTTCGTTCTGCATCACTACAAGATTTATTGATCTCTCGTGTGTGTTGTTGCTTCGTTTTTCCATCTTCCCTAAACACCATTTGTCGTCTTTTGGTTACAGATCTCCCAATGCCCCTGAGTATGCTTATGCAAGCTGGACGTTTGCAAGGCTCATCCAACTTTAACATGGGCAGTGTTATGGGCGCACCTACCAATGGTCAATCTAACGCTTCCAAATTCGTTACGACAATGGGTGTGAACACATTCGCTCGATCAAACGGTCAAGGATTGAACTTCACACCTGCCATGACTCAGTTTGGCACAAGCACCCGAGCACCTGGTGGACCACTGCCGGCGACTACTTCTTTAGGTAGTGGAGCGGCTCCAAGGTATATGAATACTGTCAGTCGACGTTCCACACAGGGGAGCGGCGTCTCAAACACGTCTCTTGGGCCAAGTAAAGATAGACAATTGCATCAGAACTCACTCGCAGCAGCCAGTTCTGTTGGCCTCGCGACTGCAAGTTCCGCTTTGCTTTCACAACCCGGAATGTCTGAACTTACTGGAACACAAGGAACTGTTGGTTTTGGTCAGATGGGCACTAGCAGCAGTCAGAGTCGTAACATCGAATTGTCTGGTTTATCCCAAGTATGTTTCCTGGAATGTTTTAATATCCGCAATTTCTAGGACCTGTGGGGTTTTAGAGCCCTACTTCAATTGCAACGTTTCTAGTTAAGAATTTTCGCTTGATGCCATTCAGCTTTAATCCCCCTAACACTATCCATCGCCTTACTTCAGACTTTTTCCACTCCTTATCTTGGTCCCTTTTCCACATAGAGTACACTCAGATAACATTTTTGGTCCGTGTTTTCCCGGACGATTGGGAGGGAGGGTCTGGTCCATTCTCACCATATCGCTTGTAGACATTCTGGGCTACTCTAATCATTCGTTGGTAGTTTGTCCTCAGGCCACGCTATTCATTGTGAAGCCAAGTTATAAATGTAGGACTGCCTTGTGAAAGTCTAGTGCGTTTGCTCGCATTTTGTGTCAACATACCCATTAAGACAGCTATTAATCACCTGCATCCTTTATCATGCACTCATCTCCTACTCATTTCTCTTCTGTCGACGCACATCTGCTGCAACTATTTACTGCCCGAGTTTTAAGGGTCTTACTTTTCCCAAGCTCCATGAATATGTGGTTGGCGGCATCCGGTTTCGGATTTGTCTGTCACAGGACGCTTGCGCCTACAGAGGGACCTTGGGTGGATTGCGCTGCACCACCCACAGCTCCAACAACACACCCGGTATCCAGTGTAAACCCGAAGGAATAAGACCTTGAAGCATATGGATGGGAGCCACATTTCATCAACGGAGCCGGCCCACACTCCTTCACAGACAAATACAAACTATATTTGGGAATCAATGACACACAAGACGGTGGCTGGATCCTGGTCCGCTCCACATTGTGTGCATAGAACCACTAGTTGAACCTAGTACGGTCACGAGAATCGTTCACCCCGACCCCATTCAGCAACGACCAACTGTCTCCTAGAGCCAGTATGGACAAGTAGTGGGTAATATATATATATATATATATATATATATATATATATATATATATATTTATATATATATATATCCTTGCATGCTCACTGAGGTGATTAGAGTCCAAGCAACCTGCTACAGAAAGAAATTGTACATAAACAACCTTAATGAGATGTTTTTCAGCCTCCGACTGGATTGATGTTTACCATGCAATCAGTTGCCTCAAGGTCCTGGCGATGGCAATCTTGTCAACGTGCTAATACCGTTTCATCTTGGTCGCATTGGGGTGTACGTTTCGTTTGTCTATTCCGATGCTCGCCGAAGTTTCATATTCTTAAGCCGACTATTGCATCACGTTAAAGTCTAGTGTCGTCGCGATGGCTGCTGTATACCACTCATTCCTCGTCAGAACTTTGTGCTGGTGGCGATGATAAAATCGTGACTGGCATCCCACCGTTACTTAACCTAAGGTTGTTTAGCATGATAACCATGTTGCGATACTTCCCCTCTTATGTAGCACGTGCGTCGTATACCGGTTGAAGGCACTCATATGTCCCTGTTATCCATGCTCCCTTCTTGTTGGTTGTTGACCTTGGCCAGAATCCGCCTGTTCCTTCTACCTAGGCCCTTCATGGTGTTTTATCTCACCCATTCCACTATAGATGTGACGTTAACATTTTATTGTTTCGAATGTTTACGAAGAAGTAGTAGTAACTCATAAGTCTGTGAGCGGCACTGTATCGCATTTGGCAACGGTCACTTCGGTTGTTGCCATCCCCCGTAGCTCAGGGGCTTCATCCACAGATTGGTAACAGTCAAGTCACGGATTCGAATTCTGCAAGCTTCAGATGGAGTGTGCACTGCTGACGATTCCTGAGAGGATGTAACGGCGATACAGTGCTTTTCCGGGTGTCTGGTGGCCATCTGACCTATTCTATTTGTGATGGATTTCTACCTATACTGGTCAACTCCCCCTACGACTTGTAATCACTTCGCAGACCAAACTGCTTGCATATTGCCATAAGTTACCCTTTGCTTTGCACGGCAGTAACCTGCAAGTAAGGGATAGTAAGTGCCGCTATGTCACGCCTATTAACTTAGTAACGACAGTCGACGCCGTCCCCCGCAACTCAGTGGTTTCAATCACACTGGCAACATTCTGTTCAAGCCCCACATGGGTCAGATGAGATGCGCACTGTTTCAAATCTGTTCGGTTTGGATGTGCAGCTCATGTCCCCAACACACCAACTATCTTGTTCTTTTGTTAGTTTACACTTCTTTTCCATCTTTTACTTGGTGGCTAGGATCCTGTCTAATTGTGCTTGAATGCTGAAAACAGAGATTTAGATAATTGACATCTGCCACCACTGCTCTATTATCAGACACACGCATCTCATTAAACTTCAGTTGTTCGTCGTCATATTTAGCCTCTACTTCTTTCGGCATCTATAGTCGAACTACTCAATCTAACGGTTATTCTTCCTTATTCTATCTATTTCAGGAAAGCACGTCACTTGATTTCCGTCTTGGTCATGGTTCAAGTCAGATGGATCATTTGCTTCTTTCACAAGACTCTACTTTTCAGGGAGCGATCGTTCCAACAAGCCAGAAATTCATCAACGATCGTTCCTCCAGTCTTCACCGTAGCGCTTCCGGGGAGCACAATTCATTTGGCTCCGGTGGCGGCGTCGCTGGCTGTAGTGGCTTGGTGAATGGTGACGATCTCAGTGATGCTGGTCTTTCTCAAGCGACTGGTGGAGTTGGAGCCGCACCGTTGTCTCAGTTTTAAAGGAATGCGACCCGGGCTTATTGTTCGTGCTCTGCTCCATCGCCACCATTATTGGAACTACGGCTTGTCGGCTAGGTTCTACTCTGCTGCCCATCTGGAGATTCGTCTGTTTACACGGATGATCCTGTCACGGAGGATGAATGAAGCGGCTGAGTACTGGAAGCGGAAAAGACCAACTTCCACAGGACAAACATCGTTCGCACTCACCTGTATTTGACTGATCCACCAACTCAACACACTTTTACTCTTTATTTCCGCACAGTTGCTCGAAAAGTTGTTTGTCCTGTGCTTGTAGCTTCCCCGCTTGCCTTTAAAAGCAGCCCGCTTCATGCGCTGTGTACGGGGTCACCAAACTGTTGCATTGTCGGTGATAATCTGTCATTTTTCACCAATGGATATTTCACTGTTCTGTATTGTCTCTATTGCATATTATGCCCACTTGCCTCACTTCTATCACTTTATCATGGGTCCCCACTTGAAGTTAGCAGCAGCACTGTTGACGGCCATCATCATCGATGCTTCCACATGGATGGCCCGTTTCAATAGAGAGGCGATTTCGGTTTCGGCTCTCAACCTATACTTTCACTTGTACCACTGCTTGGTGCCAGCATGCATAGTTTGCCTTACTTATCGATATTCTTGTCACGTGATTGCAACTCAGTGGTCAGTTGTGGTGTAATATTCCCCTGATATGACTGTCGGATTTTTATGCACATTTGTCAAAGGATTGATTTTGTACTTTCTATCTGAGTAACGGTAAATGTGTTATTTCTTTACTAGCGTTCGATTCAATCCATGGTCCATGCTTCTTGGAGCCAAGTGTGGTTGATCCAGTTACCGTGTTTCGTTGCCGTGTGCTGTTAACTAAAAGTGGTGGGATTAAATGAGGGTGAATACAACATACCTACCAGCATTCTGTGTCGAAGCTCTCTGCATACACTTCTAGTAACGATGCATTGCTTAGTTGCTACATGCAACAGATCGAATTCACAGATGTCTTTAGCTTAGTGACTACACCGTCTCAGTAGGTCCCATGCATCAACCCGGCGAATCTCAGTTTCTACATGTATTTGGCTCAAAGCTCCGCGACTTCATCCTATCGGGAGCACTGTTCTCTGAGATAAACCGATCGGCATGTGTGCAATGTACGTGACCCAGCCAAGTCACAGGGTGGTCAAGTGTTACTCGACCAACTATGTGGCTACACGCCGGTTGGCAGGGATTGTCGCTGCTTATTCGGTCTTCGCATCAAATGTGAACACTACTCACACGACTAGTTTCTTCATGCCTTATCCGCGACTGTCATGGAGTAGCACTGCAGCATCGTCTCCATTTGAGCTATGTCTGATGTCAGGCCTTCTTCGTAGCTGATTACACGGATTACGCTGACACGCGTTAGACTTTTCAGCAAGTCGATCGCCATGGGTAACGGCTACTATTTTGTAGAAAACAGCAAAGCGCGTCAAGTGTGCATTCGTTAACGTGTTGACCAAGGTTAATACCGGAGCGTGCAGTGTACCATGTAGCAAAGATTCTGTGACGTTCCGGAAAATCCTACTGAAGGTCTACGACCTATACAAGGCGGTATCTGTTTTTCATAAATTCTTGCTGGTCTTTTGGAACGGTTGTGTGTCAGAATGTGTGGACGTATCGTGATGCTGACTAACATGCGTCCATTGTTGATTAGACACCGATAATCATCTCAGTTACATCACGATTTCGGTTTCCAGGTATCGGAAATCCAGTCTTTTGGCCCCATGTATTCCGGGCGAATGTTTCCTGTGTGCATAAGTTTGGATCTTGAGTGTTGCTTGTCTCGACTTCGGTGACTAAACATTTGCCTGCGTAATTACTTTGTTGATCAAGCAGTGAAGTTACTGCGTCGGAATACCTGTACCTCCTGTTTGTCGACCAATTGTTCAACGAGCTAGGCAATTAAGCTACTGACACTACTTCAACACTAGTCCGTGAGACATACTCAGTGCGTAACAATGAATGACTCATTAACAACTACGGAATAAAACCTCCATAAGCTATCCACTTGAGGAACTGGATCAAAGTAATCAACCTACAGCTCTGGTTCCATAAGGTTTACGTTGCAATGCACTACCTATAAATCATACCCAAGTTCGTTCACTCATTGGTAATCAAAAATTAAGCCCTACCAGTCTTCGGAATGCTATGTGGATTCAGGGCACTGGCAAGGGACGTCCAACCACTGGCTTCTGCACGGACGGCAACCTACATGGCAGTGGAGGATGGGCCGGGCATATCGCCGTTAGACTTCAATCCGTAATGGCCGGCTGTCGTCGCACATGGCTCAGGGGCATAAGCTGCTGACTAGTGGTGTGAACCACTAGCAGTCATGGGTTCGAACCGCAGCAGGGGATCGAGGGAAAGTACATCACTGATGAGTTCCAATAAGACGAAACGACCGTCTAGTGCTCTTCCGGATTGGTGGCTCACCTATGCGACTTTTATGGTAACTGTGATGAATCGAATATAGTTCTCGTATTTTACTCGTCCTGGCCAGAACATCAATTCTCTTGTCCTGCTAGTGCTCGATGCGCTTGTCCCAACATATCCACTGACGGATCGCGTGATCAAATTGCGATTTTCCTTTACGATTGGCCGTCATGTGCGGTCACTTTACCTCCAAATTTGAAGAATGGCGT